GACAGCTGCGGCCGGCTCCGCCCACCAGGCTCGTGCCCAATCACCTCCGGGCTCGGGCCACAGCCCCGCCCCGCACGTGCTGCCCCGGGGGGTGCGGGGGAGCCTGGCCAGAGAGCCCCACCCGCCTGACGGGGGCGCAAGTCGCAAGTCACGCAGGAGCGGTGCGGCCGCGGAACCTGCGGGGATCAGGAGGGGATTGCGGGCAACTGCGGCACTGATCAGGATTTAGGTGAGGGAAGTCAGACCCTACTCAGACCCTGTCCCAGCGGTGGGAGAGGACCCCTGACTGAGGCTGAGGGAGGCCCACAGAACGAGCTACGCATTTCATTTGAAGAAAAAGGTCTTAGATGGTGGAAACAGGGGCACCTGTTGAAGAGCTTGTGACTCTTCAATAGTTAACCTTGATTCGGTCAGTTTAGGTAGGGCTGCCTAAGAAACATAACTGGTGGACTCAAGATGCAGACCTCATAAAAAGGTGCATTGTTTTTCTCTCCAGTGAAGCATCTCCAGGCCATGATGGGCCCACTCTTGTGTGTGCACTCTTACGGTATCCCTACCCCCAAAGTGAAGCTCGTGAGAGCCAGAACTCGGATTAGAAAATCAGGAGGGCCTCCCCAAAGCCAGGCATGGTGCCCAACACCTGTAACTCTGGCATTCGGGAGCCGGCATCTAACATACCAGGGGGAGGAGAAGAGATGAAGCAGGAAAAGCCTCCTACCCGAGGGTACCATCTCTCCAAAGCCCGTAGTGGAAGTTGGAAGGCTGGATCCTAGCCCAAATCCGCTCTGGTATATGGCTTAATTCTGGACAAGACCTCTACTGTCTTTCTGGGTCTCTGTTTCTAACTGGGGGAAGGTGGCAAGGTGACAATCAGACAATCTAGAGACTGGGTTGGGAGTGGGGGTTTTGTCCACTCGGGAGGATAACTGAGAGCTTCTGTGTACAGAACGCCCTCACCACTCTGACCCAGATGGGACTGGATCTGACGAGCTCCCCTGAAACTCTCCCATTCATCTCTTTGAGGTTTTAATTACAAACAAAATCTGTACTGTCCATGGACTCTTATAATTCCATCATTTGGGAGGCAGAGGCAGGTGGATCTCTGTGAGTTTAAGTCCAACTCCAGGGTTCCATACCATTGAGTCCAGGCCAACGGGTCTCTGAATAAATAAATATTTAAAAAGAAAGAAATTAAAACCCAGCATATCATATTCTTTTTAATATGTGCTAACCTCTTGGTTCAAATGAGAGAGAAAGGCAGAGAAAGAGAGAGTGAGGGAGAGAGAATGAGTAAGAATTAATTCAGACCCTTAGAAACCTAGTGGTTTCTGTCTGTGATTCCAGGTCACCGAAGTGACCCATCGTAAACAGACACCTAGTCAATGGTCTGGCTGGTACTTATCCAAGGCTCCGAAATCATCATCTAGGCTGGGAGCTTCCACGCTATTGCAGGCTGCTCCAGAGCCCACGTCCACAACAGGAACATCTTGTGAAGGTGTCGACCACAGTGAGTCATGGCATAGCCAATGAATGACAAGGCACGAGGCGCACAGGCACACACACACACACACACACACACACACACACACACACACACCACTGTCTCAGTGAGCAAAGTTAATCCCCAAGCTGGTGTTTCTTGGCGCCTTCAAGGTGTCTTTTCAGTTCTGTGAAGTGACTAAATTATGCTTCACTGTGTTGAGTATGAATGGCTGTGACGGGAAGGTTCGGAAAACAGATTTCATTCGGAGAGTTGCCTGCAGCCTCTTTCCTGCTGGCTGAATTCGGGCCCGAAAAGTCAGTCAGGGGGAATTTCACTGGGTGGCCAGGAGTAACAGGTGATTAGCAGACAAGTACAGACCCAGAAGCTCCATGGGGCTGGGCTGGGACCCCCACAATGATCTCTAGGACTGCGGGGCGGTGCTAGCTAAAGGGCAGTGTCTGCTGTGGATGCTGAGGAGCTATGGACCTGTGAAGGGGATTCAACCATGGCTTTGCACTCTACCATACCGTGTTTCCCACCCTTTCATAGCCCTGCCCAGGGAAGGCAAGTTTTGGTCTTTGGTTCATTGCCCTTTATCTCCACCCCTGGTTGAATTCTAGGGCAGGGAAAGAGGATGGACTTTAAGTCCTTCATATTTAGATCAGAGGGAAAAACTTGTTTGCCACCAAGCAAGCCATCTATTCCTACTATGATGCTCCTAACTTACACATGGGCTCTCAGTGATCACTTACTTGTTTACAACACCCTGACCTCCACCTCTAGACAGTCCCTATGGCCAAGTTTTAATTTCACATACAATCTCCCACACATCCTCCTAGCAATCCCACAAACACCTTAAACTCAGCATATCCCGAAAGGAACTCACCATCATTCCCTCAAATCTGCTTCTTACCATAGCATCATAACTCCTGACCCACAATGACACTAAGGAGAAATCCTACAGGCCATTTGCGACTGTCTTACGAGAACCCCTTATTTAGCTATAGCCTGTTGAGTCTCACTTTCAATGTTCCCCGCTGCCCACTGATATACCTCAGATGTCTTATTTGGACTGCCCGATGCCACCTCCATCTCCAGGCTTTCCCACGCAGTTATTGATAATAAGTTTTCAAACCATATCCATGACCTGATCACTGCCTGGAACAAAACCTCTCCATAGATCTCTCTGTGGCTTCACAACCCTTCCTGACCCATGTGTTTCTGACTTCAGAGCCTCCTACATATCTCTAGTACACAGTCTCAAGGCAAAGGATCTGAGAAGTCCTTCCGATGACATGGAACTCCCAGGATTGACATCCAGATACTTCCTGGAGCCTGGGCAAGTGGCAAAAATTAGCTTATTTGTTTGTAGTCCTTATCTGCCCTTCGCCAGAAAACCCTGCTAAAGCAACGATGGTTCAGGACCACGGAGAGCGTCACATGCTCACGCCCCCACCTCCCCTGACCCTTTAGTTGGGCTCTGCCTACAAGGCCTTCCAGGCAAGCTTCTATAGCTGGTCCTTCACAAATCCAGTACAGGCTTGACTTCCTCATGGAAGCCTTCCCTGACCCACCTGGATGACCAATCATTTCCTCCTCGGGGCTATTTTGTAACATGTATATTCCTCCATCATACCAAACTCATTATTCTGATTATGTTTGTTTGATTCCACCACCACTCCACCCCCAAAAGACATGAGCCTCAAGGGCTCATGCCCTGTCTGATTCATCTTCACCATCCATTGCAGAGGAGGTGCTTAGAGAATGTTTGTTGATTGAATGAGCAAATGACATTTAGCAGGTGCAGGAAATATGTGTTGATTTGCATTGTATATCTGTTGCTTTGGGTGACTCAGAAACCAGCCAGATTTCAATCCTGCTGCCTGTGGAGAAGACATTTTTCTCCCTAATGACACCTCCCTCCATCCTTGGAGCAGCTTTCCTGCAAGTCACCACCCTAGCTGGGGAGAAGGCATCCCCACTCTACTCCTGCTATTTCACACCGGAGACTCACTGGAGTCTCCCCATCCCCCGGTTTGGGGTCTGCCACATGAGTTTTACTCTGAACATGTCATCTCTGCCTTCTCCTGCTCAGAACAGATGGCTCTGAATCCCTGCTCATACAGAAGTTCGTGTTCCATCATTTGAACATTTTTTTTTCTCAAGACAGGGCTTCTCTGTGTAGTCTTGGCTGTCCTGGAACTCACTCTATAGACTAAGCTGGCTCTACTTAGAGCTCTACCTGCCTCTGGCTGCCAAGTGCTGGAATAAAGGCATGTGCATCACTATACATCACTCATTTGGAGATTTTAACACTTTCTATATTATAGATGTTTCAGTCACCTTTGGTCATGGCCTGAGACCAGCAGAAACAGAGTCTCTGGAAGGACATTGAGTGGAACTTCTTCCTCACCCTGTGGAGAGGCCAGTGACCTGCCCCAAGTCATCGCAGTAGATACTGTCACTTTTTTGAGGAAGGGGAGGGGCCTTTTTAAAAATTTTTATTGTTTTGGTGTTGGAAATCAAACTTGGGACCAGCTAGGAAAGCACCATCACCAAGCCACACCCCCGGCCATTTGGTTTTGATGATCAGAATTAATTCATTCCTCTTCCTAGCAGCTTTCCTGGCTTCCTGGTCTTAATGGAGCTATGAATCAAGACACAGGCAGAGGATCCAAGCTAACCCAACTGAACTTTTATGCCTAGGGCACTAAATCTTGAGTAAGCAGAAAAAGAGTAGGAAAAAATGTCTGGAGCTCTGAAAAATTAAAAGAAGAGGTAAAATCTCTGGCTCTTCAACCTTGCTATCAATTCCGTGAGCTCTTCCTACCCTGCTGATGAGTCCTTTGCCTCCTCAAGGTCATCAGTTTGGCCCAGTTACACGCAGCTCCATAACCCAAACACTGTAGGAGCCAGTGCAAACCATCCTCTTGGCAATGGGGTAAATCATGGCTTTAACAAGTACCAGCACTTCTTGGCGGACTCTCTGATAGAACCTTGGTGAGCTCAGCTACCTCACTACTCAGACACAGCAGGAAGTCACCCAGTTAGGAGTGGGACAGACAGGCCAATGGCTAGTTGCAGGGGAACAAGCCAGGTAGAGGTGCAGGA